TCGTAATCAGCGAAGTGTTTTGTTGGTAGGTTTGATAAAGCAAATCGGAACTGAGACACTGATGAAGCCAGTTCAGCGCGGTGTTCGTGGAGCCTGTGAGGTCTGTTATGCGTTTTTTTTTTTTTGCAGCTACGCAATGCAAAAAGCATATTGACGAGAGGCTGTCTGTGTGTCCGCGTGTCTGTGTGTGCGTCAGTCACGCATTTTCATCTCAAGACCTACAAAAGCTATAGGGCTGGAACTTTCGGGACTTAATCTACATGCACGTACGGGTCCCATTCCCCAAAATGGGCGCCATTACCCGCGTGGTACCCACGTAAGAGCCCGCCAAAGTTTTTTACGGGTAAGTCCATAACTTGGAGATCTGAAAAGCTAGAAAGCTGAAAGCTTAGGGTGATGTTCCCAGTCTAAGTAGGTGCTAATGTACTCAAACCCATCCCTCGAGTAAGCGTGGTACCCGCGTACGAGCCTGCCAAAACTTTTCTCGGGTAACTTCATAACTCGGGAGTCTGAGAAGCTAGAATGCTGAAATCTAGAGGAGATGTCCCCCGTCCAAACAGGTATAAATATGCTCAAGCCCAGCCCTTGGGTGTGCGTGATACTCACGCAGGGGCCCGCCAAAGTTTTTTTTTAAGTTGATAACTCGCGAGTTTGAAAAGCTAAAGGACTGTAATTTTAAAAGGATATTCCCCGTTCACCTAAGTCTCACTGAGCTCAAACCCAGACTCCGGGTACGCGTGGTAACCACATAAGGGCCCGCCAAATTTTTTTCAGTTAATTTGGTAACTCAGGAGCCTGGAAAGCTAGAAAGCTGAAATTTTAAGGTGGTGTTTCCTAACAGTTTTGGCGGCCAATCTTAATTTGTTTAGCTAGAAGCATTTGCCGAAAAAACCGGTGCCGGTCGCTACAAAAACTACGGGAAACTATGCAAAAAGCGCATCTTCGCACGGGCAGCCCGTGCGTTGGCCAGTTATTTTAGATTAAAAGATTACATGAGAGATCTCTTCCCTACTACGCAGCGCAGCAAATCCGCACTAAGTGTTTACAGAAGACACCTGACTCCGTCCAGTTTCTGCTTCCGTACTGCACAAAAACCCGTCTGGTTTCCGCGGCTCACGCAATTTCTGTTTACTTCCGGAAGCAGCAGGTGGGCAAACAAACGTCGCTCTCTCTCTTTGTTTGTTTTACGAAAATGCAGCTGGGGAATTACCTTAAGTGTTCAAAACGGGTCAACGAGCATGTACTGTGAGTTTGGAGAGCTCAAAAATGTCTGTAATTGCAGAGGGAATTTTATTTAAAGCTGGCGCGTCAGCGGGCTTCTTCAGACGGCAGCGAAGAAAGTGCAGTCTTAAAGCGGTTTCTGTCGTTCACTCCAGCATTCTTCGGGATCAAATCGGTGTGGGTTGGGTACATTGGTTAGTTTTGGATTTTCGTCTTGCCGCCATTTAATACTCAAATTCCTTGGTTTTTATTGATCGCTGCTACACAAAATGAGTGAATTTTTGGCGTTGCGTGGTACCGCATCCTCTTTCATTTCGATTGCTCTCAGTGATCAAGTAGTCTTAGTAATGTATTCTAATTAATGCAGGGGAACGGAGGTGCTGGAATTTCCTCCCTGTTGCTGGTGGCCAGACGGTGCTTTAGATGTTACGGTTCTCTGCAGTCCGATCCAACAGGCCTCTTAACAAAGTGCTTGACCTGTGCACACTTACCGACTGTATTCAAATTTGAGAGGTCGAGTGTCTCGTGCTGGAGGATTTAGCGAGTCGATATAAATACCCGTGTATTATGGACATCAAAGTGGGAAAGGTTACTTACGATCCGCAAGCAACACAAGAAAAGCGATTATCCGAAGCTGTGAAGTACCCAGAGCAAACGACGCTTGGTTTCCGTTTGACTGGCTATCGGGTGCGTATTATCGTTCAATCTCAACTGTTGTTTATATTTTTCCAACACACCTTGTTGCTGCGCTTTTCAAGTATTTTTCACAAAAAAGAAATTATTTCTACCGAACTTTTTTCTAATTTTTTCAAAACAAACTTTTTCGACAGTTGTAATTTTCAGCTGCTGTAGCGCTTTTTT